GTATCGAATCCCGATTTCTAGCGTCGTAGGTCCGCAAAATTATCGCTGAGGGGGGGCGAGGTCGGTTAAAATGTAAGCTTCAGCATATTTAAAATAAATAGTTCCATGGTGAGTAATTTCAGTGTTTTGTTGTTGTTGTTGTATTTATTTCGAACAAAGCTAATCAAGGTTTACCTGCGCTAGCCATCCCCAATTTTGAAATGACAAACTAGAGGGAAGGCAATACCACCCACCGCCAACTCTTGGGCTACTCCTTATCAACAAAGAGCTATGTTGACGACTATGAAAGGGGCGAGCACGTTTTGTGACCGACAAAGATATGTCATATTCTAATCTTCTACTAAATCTATTTTAAATAATCTACACTAACTAAACATAGATGAAACTTATAAGTTACTCTAATCTTTATTTATAAGCTGCACTTGGTTAGAAAAATTACTAAAGATTTCCAAATGAATAATGATGTTGTTATAAATTTAATAAAAAACTTAGGTGTGAAAAAAGGTGTGGCCAGAAAAGATTGAGCGTGTGACTTAAAGGAATGAAATCAAAATTGGTGTTTTCACCTTATGGTTTTGCTGCTCTAAATCAGCCGTCTTTAATCCGAGTGTCAAAAAAATAAAAACGGTCCGTTTTTACTGTTAGGTGAAGCTGTAGGCGGGCACAAAAATTTTGGTCAAAATTGAGCGGTTGTTGTTGAATAACTTTGAATGTGTGCCTTATATTTATACCAAGGTTGTAAAGGTTGAAGGTTGTAAAGATCTGTCAATGTACCAAATTTGAAAAAAAAAAAATCCAGAAAAGTTAAGCATCTTTTCCGGTCAAATAAAGTTTCTTTACTTTCGGTGCGAAGAAAGAAAAAAAAGGAAGAAATTCAACCAAAATTGGAGATTTTATATCTCGTGTATTTCTTAATGAACTGCCTTGAAATTTGGTATGTGAAGTAATGTTCCAGTAAACAAACTGTGTGTTATTAACAGAAGTGATAGTTTAGTGATTTTCCATTTTCTGTAGCTCGGACTGCGGTAATCTAAACTATCACATATTTTCAGTGGATGTGCTCTACTGGACTCTTACTTCACATACGTAATTGTTGTTTTGCAGATTGTTTTGGCTGCACGACACGCTACCGTGTGTCTTGATTTTCAAATGTTGAAATTCTCCCTGCTCTTCATAGATGTCAAGGAATACAATTCACTAGAAATAATGATAATAATTCAGTTAATATGTTTGTTTTGAATTTCGCGCAAAGCTACACGAGGGCTATCTGCACTAGCCGTCCCTAATTTAGCAGTGTAAGACTAGAGGGAAAGCAGCTAGTCATCACCACCCACCGCCAACTCTTGGGCTACTCCAGTGGCTACTAGTGGGATTGACCGTCACATTATAACGCCCCCACGGCTGAAAGAGCGAGCATGTTTGGTGGGACTGGGATTCGAACCCGCGACCCGCAGACTACGAGTCGAGCTCCTTAACCACCTGGCCATGCCGGGCCCAGTTAATATGAGAAATAATGTATGTTTATGTGTTTTAACCATCACAGTTAAAATGGCAATGAGGTTTTAATTTATCCAATACTTTAATAAAGCATTTGTTTATCATGAGAGTATCTGATTGGACTTACGTGTTTCTCTCGAACTTCGCAATTTTTCTCCATTCTTTCGGGTTACTTCGATACGAGGCCATCACATCTTGGACATATTCTATATTTACTGAGTCTGATTCAAAAATTCGATGCAATTCCTTAATAAGATCGTTGAAGCAACGAATTCTGGGTGGTTTGCAACTAACGCGAACAAAGGAAGACATTGCATTCATGATTCGTATGTTTTATGTAGTGTACTTTCTCTTGTATGGAAATTTACTCCACAGCTTTTTATACTTGCCAGCCTCTAGTTGTGTATCACTTGTATCCAATCAGACAACATCAACGAAGATATCTAGAATAAAGGTGTTTTCTTTACAGAAATTGTATACCCCTCAGCCATTCTCACTGCGATATCTGTAGTACTTATAAAATCTACGTTATCATCATGAGCTTGTGTATATATATATATGTCACTATCATAAGTGATCACTTTTGAGATTCGTTCAGAATTGAAACTGTGATGAATACGAACCATACTTTTATGGTTTTTTAACCTTTAAGTCGATGAGTGTGGCAAACAACTTCAAAGACAGATTTTTTTATGTCTGTTACGTTTCTTTTTGTTAGCATATGAACATATTTCCACTATTATGGTGATGTACAATCACTCCTAAATCATGTTTTCAACAAATAAATTATGTTTTCACACATATTGTGATGTACAATCACTCCTCTTTTCAACAAATAAATCATGTTTTCACACATATTGTGATGTACAATCACTCATCTTTTCAACAAATAAATTATGTTTTCACGCATATTGTGATGTACAATCACTCCTCTTCTCAACACATAAATCATGTTTTCATACATGTTGTGATGTACAATCACTCCTCTTTTCAACAAATAGATCATGTTGTCACACATATTGTGATGTACAATCACTCCTCTTCTCAACACATAAATCATATTTGCACAACTTCGGCGTTGTACAGCGTAATAAAAACATCAACTCTTTGTACGTTTTGGAGCATATTTTTATATTTTCATCTTAAGGGTATAATGTTTCGTTAACAAATTTAGATGATTTATTCTAAAAACGGTGATTGGTGTAGGCTGTTCGCGTTACGAGCTTTTCAGCGGTATTGATGGAATATAGTCTGGTGACATCTAGAAATCCTATATAATCGTATAAACAGTCCCCCGCTGGGACAGAGGTAAGTTTACGGACTTATAACGCTAAAAGCAGGGGTTCGATTCCCCTCGGTGGACACAGCATATAGCCCGATGTGGCTTTGCTATAAAAACACACACACTCGTAAAAACAACTATTGCTTGTCTGTTGACGACAATGGGATCGAGACTCAGTCATTAAGAGTAACAAAAGTTGAAAAAAGTTGTTGCTTCTGTCAATTTTATTGTAATAATAAAATTAAAATCCCCATTTTCATCTACAAAATCGGCTAATAAGATTAATACCTATTTAACAAGTATAGTAGGGAATAATATTTTTTGTTTGTTGTTAAACATAAAGCTACTACTCCGCCTACTGCGGGTATCGAAGCCAGGTTTTTAGCTTTATAAACCCTTAGATGTACTACTGAATCGCTGAGGGACGATAGTGAATAAATACAGTTTATTTATGTTTCAGATCTTGTTCAAAACAACAAGAAATAACGTGTAAATATTCTGAAATTGAAATATATTTTATTTCTCCTTTCAATCGTGATGCGACTTTATGCAGAACATTATTCTACACATATTTTAATCAGTTTTTCAAAAACGTTCTAATTTCGACAAATCTCTTGATAATCTACTTTCATCAGTGTCGCACTAGGCACATGCCACCTGTATCTACGCGCAAAGCTTCGTATAAGACAGCCGCGCTGTGCCTATTTTCCCGCATTATTTGTAATTTGGCCCTGTGAATCTTAGGTGAGGCCTATATGTCTCACAATTGACCCTTCAATTGGCCTCAAACATCCTAGCGCCGACTCTGGCCTTCCACTATCTCTCCAGTCTTAAGACGATTATACATATTATAGCAGGACCACTTTTTTTACCTGGCACCTTCTTAAGAGGTAACATAATATAATATAGTATTACGATAACAAATAATTTAAAAGATGCAACTTTATTTCCCACTGAGCAATATTGAAAAATTAGCGTCATAAAACAACATTGAATTCAAATATTTTATGTTTAAGTTGTAGACTGAGGTAAAACTTTGAGAGGCTGCCAATATTACCCAGTGCATAATTCTTCAAAGATTTTATAGACATAAAGGACCACAATTAAAAATGCTTCAATGGCCTTTTGTTTGCTTTGCACCACTATCTCTAAAATTTCTCAATTTTAACGACATCAAAGTCGGTTAGGTCAATTGAGCCACCGAAGGACATCAAAATTCCGAAACTTATAATTGAATCCCTTCATTTACTATTTTCATTGCTGTATTGCTGTAAAATCTTATTTGACGAAGAGAGAATGCAGGTCTAGTTTGTTTTATTGCAAAATTTTTCAGATATGTTTTACTTGTTTAACTGTTTTTTTGTTTTATTTTTATTTTTTGTAATTTTGTAAAAATTTTGATATGTCATAATTCGTTGTTATTTATCATTATTTTATTTTTCGATCACCCGAGAACGACCTGGTGATTGGTGTATCGAACTGGGGGATCAGAGGTCTCGCGTTCGAATAGTGCTGTTACTAAACACGATTAGCTATGGGTGCATAATAATAGTGATAGTAATCTTGTTGTTAAGTTAAAGGTAGCCGTTTTAGGAAGCGATTTTGGTCGACAGGTTGTCCCTTCTTTTGATCGCAGAGCAAGAGTAGGGTTATCTATGACTCATCCAATTAGGGTCTTTGACTTGACCGTTTCACCAAATTTAGGCATAACGTTTCGTTCAAGGGAACAAACTGTTACATAAATGCATCTTATTACTGCTTTTAATTAATAAATTTAAAAAAAAATGAGTTTAAGTATTTTAAGCGAATTCTAGAATATTGTACATTTTAATTAGCGCTTATTAGCTGGTATTATTTTTCTTTGTCATAAGTTCATCCATCATGCTAAATTCATGTTGTTTTGCGTTAAAGTTTATTGCTACTTGCTGGTGTTAATTAGTAGTGTGTAGAGCACATTGCATTTATACTTTTTAACCTATAAAACTACAATTGCTCTCTTTACTATATTTATTTTAAAAACTAAATAGATATTGAATTAAAATGAGTACATAATAACACTATTAATTTTTTATCTCTATTCCTGATTGATAAGGGAAAATTTTATCCTGATGATGTGTATCTCACGAGGCGTTGTTGGGAATGTTTTTCGAAGATAATTGAAATTGGAATTCCCAACCTGTACCATACGCGCCACTTAGATAAACATCCAGTTCAAAGACTTCTAAGATTTCTTAATTTTCGAACTAATGACCGAGGTTAGACAACGAGTCAGCAGAACCCGTCACCACAATGAAATTTTCTAGCTCTTTGAACGGAATAACTGGAATTACTGTGATTGTTATCCCGTACCCATAGCTCAACATGTGAAGGTTCAGTGGCCTCACAATTCGAACCTTTCAATCCTTACCCCAACCCGTTTTAGAACAGAATTTTTAAAACACTAGAAATATAAAGCTATTGCGATATATAGGTTTTCAAGGCAGGGTAATTTTCAGACAAGATAGTTACTGGAATTTAATATGATCGTTTTTCAACCAAATATAAATTCATAATGTCCTGATAAAGCTTTTTCCAATTATAGAGTAAAACAAATTCAATTCTTGATTAGCACTACCACCCATTTCCACAGCATAAAATGTGCTTAACCATGACGTAACGAGGATATCTCGACAACTTAAACTATTAAGACACTTGTGTTGGTGTTGCTATTTGATTGAAACAATTCAAGTGAAGTTTTATTAGAAATATGAACCAGTATTCGCTAATAAAGTTTAGAGACGGTTTGAATAGGTAACGAAAAAAACTTCATTACAAGCTTAACACTATAGGAAACTTATAGGGTTTCAACAAGGTTTTGTCATAATAAGATAAGCTTCTTTATGTAAACTTGATCTCAAACAAACACAAGTGTGAGAAAAATCTATTTAAAGTTTCAATTTAAAATATGTTGTCAACAGCAGAACTGCTTATAAAGTGAATCGTTTGATAAGTCAATGACTATATGTCATATTGTATAATAAGCACAAAGGAAACAGAAAAATATATCATGTATCAATTATTATGGTATATAACTTATTATGCCGGCAAAGCATGATCGTTAGTTTGTGCGACGTTGGCTCACAATAAGACTGATGATAACAATATATTACGATCACTTTTCGCTGGCATATGGTGGTGTTATGTACCATAGTAAGTGACATATTGTAGGTGACTGACATAAATATCGTTTCGACGGAGGCTTTGTGTGTTGCATGCCTAGCCGACCTGATAAGCTCTGGTGTTAGGCAAAAGGCCTTATCGGCAGAAGGGTGTGGTACATAAGATGTACATCAAGATGCTGTTATGTTTTTCTTTCTACTAGAAATCCGTATAGAATTATCAAAAAAATGTTTGTTTAGAATTACTGTCAGTCTTGCTGTGATGTCTTGTATATCATGGTGTATAATAGACACAGGTAGATATTAGAATATATAAACGTCGATAAAAAGTTCGACAATTACAAAGATTTGTCACGTTACTTGATATTTTTGACTTGTTACAAAAAAGGTTTTTCTAATTCAATCTGACCATGACGTTGCATACTTTACAAGGTCATTGTTCTCAGATTATTGGCTCTACATTAAGAAATATCATGACAACCTGCTTAACATAGCCTTGACATTTTCAAAAATTATTAACTTGTTTCTGGTATGGTTGTATTGTGTTTCATGGTATAGCAATATTGACAATCTTTCAAAAATAGGTATATAACTATTAAGACTTTTAAAATTGCTTAGAAATGTGAATATGTTAAATGAACCAAACAATAAGTGTTTCTCAACGAAGATCTTCTTATGACGATAGCTTGTTCTTCTTAATATATTTAAATGTACAGGTAAACCACAGTTATTTCCAGAAATAATGCTATTAAGATGCCGTTAGACATTAATTTTAACCTTATTATAAACCTATAGTTTTTCGAAACTTTGTAAGCTAAACCTACACGGTCGGTTTAGCTGTTAACGTATCGGGCTGCGTATCTGCATGTCCAGGGTTCAAGTTTCGCACTTTCTAACTGGTTGCGCTGCCTGTGGTCAACAGTTCTTGGTTTAAGACAGCTATGCCTGCAATTTAGATGTTTCTGTTTTGACGTTTAACCCATGTGTCCCATAAGATGCCGTTTAGGTTGCAAATACCAAGTGCTTGCACACCTAAACCTACGATAATGTGACAATCTCTAATGGTCATCACTTGCACATGACTCGCTCTTTTACACTAAAGCTTTTGTGACATTATTTTCATATATATTGATCTCCTCCTTTTCCTGTCAGAAAGCGTAGAAGTTGTTTGTAATGAGTACCACGATGACATTCGTTGTCTACCAAACTAAAGTTGAAATTCTACGTATCACACCATAGATAACGAACTATCTGGAAGTTTCAATTTCCTCTTATTATTCAGAGCACTGAGCTAATATAACAGATCTTTATGGAGAAAATATATTTGAAATATTTGAAATATTTTCAAAAAATTCGCATATACGAGAAGCGAAGAACGCAATTGATTTCTCAAATAGATGACTATAAATCCTTGTTTCTATCAACGTTGAAATCAATACGAATATCTGTAATGATATATATGACACGTTAAGCCATGTAACTTGGTAAAGAAAAACTCAGAAAAGTACATACTTTACACTAAATGACGTAAAATAGGCGCCTTGGAATGTTTTAATATAGCATGTCTCATAAGTCAAGAAAAGTTTATGATAATATTGAGAAGATATAACTTGAATTACAAAGTAAAACTTTGGTATATCAGATGGAAACATTGCAAAAAAGAGACATTTGATTAAGAGATTGGCCTACAATAAAACTAATTCAGTTACATGTGTAGCAAATGTTACATATTCAAATAGACGTGGGAAAAAGGAATTCGCGAAATAGAAAAAAAAATGATAAATTAAACAACACTAAGACAAGAATAAATAAACTAATTATGAATATTTTATTTATGGTTACCTTTTCTTATGTATCTAATAAATACTAACATTTTAAATTCAAAATATCTTTAATCTACTTTTTTTTTTAAATAAGTATAATTTTCTTAATTTAGTTACGTACGAAAATATTGCAAGTTTGAGGTATACTGTAGGTAAGTTCAATGTACGTCTTCGTGCTGGAAACAAAGAATACCAAAGTACTACGTACACTAAAATTAACATTAAGAATAGTATTGAGTCTGGCACGGGTTGGTGGTTAGTGCGCTTGACTCGCAATGTGCGGGTCGTGGGATGAAAACCCATAGCCGAACCTGCTCGTCCTTTCGGTTGTGGAAACTTTATAATATGTAGGTCAATTCTACTATTCGTCGGTCAAGAATAACCCAAGAGTTGGTGGTGAGTGATATTGACTAGCTATCTTTCCTTTATTCTATTACTCCAAAATTAAGAACAGATAGCCCTCGTGTAGCTTTGCACAAATTTCAACAAACAAGAGAAATAATAGGGCGTATGTTCTCTAAAACAAGTGTCAAAAATGTTTACCTCGGTTTAATTTCATTGGTGCTAAGATGTCATGTGACATCACACACCATTTCTTTTTCTCAATGTATAAACTTTAGTTTTCTTATAGGTTTTTAAGTTTTAAGATATCATTTAAAGCTTACAGGGTCAGATTAAAATGTATTTTTTATTTTATGAAAACACAACATGGTGGGCTTGTTTGTTTGTTTTTTGCATCAGGCTTATAACCATGGTAAGATACAATATATCAACCTACAGAAGCAAATGGCCATGGAAGATGATGAGACTGCATTATTAGTAATAACTCATGTTTTTACATGATATCGCATCACTACTATTCTCATATTTTTATACCAACTTCAATACTTAAGAATATAACCACTCATGCTGAAAAGGCAGTAACTTTTAACACGTTTGGCAGAGTCACGTTCTAGGACAACCTTGCAACTAAAAAAATTGCAATGTGCAATGTTGGAATCCAGGATGTTAATTCTCCTAAGTAACATAAAATCGTTCTCTAATACATAAATATACACATAGTACACATCCTACTCTGTAGAATGAATGTAACAATGTACAAAGAGGAACATTTTTATTAAGAAATTAAGAATGTTCATTCTACACTACTTGTTTTAGGTGTTTGTTTGCTTTGAATTTCGCGCAAAGCTACACGAGGGCTATGTGCACTAGCCGTTCCTAATTTAGCAATGAAAGACTAGAGGAAAAGCAGCTAGTCATCACCACTCACCGCCAACTCTTGGACTACTTTTTTAACAATTAATAGTGGGATTGACTGTCACATTATAACGCCACCACGACTGAAAGGGCTAGCATGTTTGGTGTGACGGGGATTTGAACCCGCGCCCCTCAGATTGCAAGTCAAGCGCCCTAACATCTGACCATACCGGCCCTGTTTGAAGTGTACACAAGATACAAAAAAGGTTCACCTAATTAGTTTTTAGCAGCGATATATTACGTACTTTATAACAATAATTATTATTCAGCTTTCAAATACAACTACATTATCATTAATTGAAAAAGCGTATGGGTTGTAAATTATTACGGTGATACGTAACGTCTTAATATTCTTTAACTCTGTATTAATAATTTCTATCGAAACGAGTTGCATCGTTTTTCTTTTTATATTAAAGCTATACATATAACTGTGAATTTAGTAGTGCTAATAATCAATTGCTTCTACATACCAGCTGGTTCAGCCTAGAGCATGGAATGATGTGCTGTCTGATAGTTAATAAAACATAACTACCTTAACTGAACCACATCTTAGTTATATATAGTACTGTTTTCATTAAACTGATAAGTACAGTTTCGTGAAAATGTATAGACAGTATCTAGTTACTAAAAAAAGAAACTAAGTAGAGCTAGGCTAGCCTATAATGATTAGTTGCTCGAGCTATGAAACCGAGAATTCATTCTTTGTATCCTGCTACTGCAAATTCACCTTGCAATATGGGACCATGTGTGCATTAGAGAAGTGATGCTCGAATCCCACTACTCGGCCAACAGATCAATATGAAGACAATTAAAACATAGAATAGGGACAACTAGACAAGGGATACAACAAAGGCTACGTATATTCGTAGACAACAGTAGACACTTGTGAAATACCACACAGTTCGAGAACTGAGCAAGATTTCGAACAATTCTGTGGCATAGGTTATAAAAGAATGTAGTTGTTAATATCAAAGGTTGCCTATATAATATATATAGGGTGATCCACAAATCCATTGGCAAACAGATATTTTAGAAATAGAGAGGTATATGAAAGTAATTGTTAGTGGTATAGACTGAAGTGTTGTCAGCCTTCCTATGACAATATCATTGAAGTCATTCAAGATTATCTTCAAGGTCATTCTAAAATGTTATTAAAAGTCACCATATATGAAAAATGTAAACCAAGAATTTGCAAAATCGCTTCTTTAGAAAAATAATTATTAGCCTAAATGCATCCCTCTCTACTTCCTTTGATCAGAAGTTTATAGTAATTAACGCATATGTAGTTGTGAAACAGAAGTTTGTAATCCGACCACAGCAGAGGTTTAAGACGTGAGGTTAGAATTTTGCATAAGGAACTCATTGCACTTTGAAAGGTACAAAAGGTAAAATATTATTAACATTAAAAACCCTTACATAAGTTAACTGTGTCTATATATTCGAATAATGAAACATCTAAATATCCCATTAATGACACGACATTTAAATATCTAAATAATGGTACAATATCTAAATATCCAAATATCCAAATAATAGCACAACATTCAGTACAAAATCACTTTAACATGGTCCAACAGAATGAGAGTGTCATCAAAATGACCTGGTTGTTCCCAGATTATACACCAACCGGTTTCTAAATGAAAGTAATCTTTCACTACAGGTTGTAGAAAATGTGTATCAGCAACTGCATACTAAAGTCTCCCTTACAGCAACCAATATTGACAATGGAGTTGTTATATTGGCATTTTTAACATTTGGCAGCACTTTAAACACAACTGTTTTCCACCATTTCTTAATACTCTTATTTATGGCTGGTGTTCTAGTGAAGCAATTGTGGATTTTGTTTTGTTTTTTTAGAATGTTTCGATTTTTATCGTCTACACAATTGCATTTGACATTTGTTGTGTATGGTGCATATTGATAAAGGTTTCTAAGGACATGATCTTGAAGTTGACTTTGAATGTCCTCAATGGTACTATCACAATGTAGGCCCACAACACCTCATTCCATACAACTAACAGTTATTTTCCTGTATTTCTCCATTTCTTAATTACTTGCCTGTCAATGAACTACTGAATCAACCGATATATAAATCATTATCCTAGTGAAGCACCCAATGAGGATATTAACTTAACTGTCAATAGGTAGCTCGAAATGGTTGTGCTCTAAACGAAACAAACAACTCGTTCTACTTTACCTCTTTAAAATGGCCGTTCTACTTTGTTCATTACAAGTACAAGGAAAAACAATTATCCCTAAATAAAAAAGCTAGGTAGGGCTGGCTGCTGAACTTGAAAAAGGAACTAAACAAGATAGGAATGGAAGTGGACATATCACTTGATCGGCTAATGATCACATAGCAGATCTAATTTACATGGAGAATAAAATCCCTACATTACCGGTATATAGGAGGGAATTTAATATGTATAAATACACAGAAACAACAGATTGGTACATCATTCGTATTGATGTGTGTAAAAGATGCTAGTTTGTCATGACCTGCGTTAATTTGAAAAGAGATACATTATAGACTGTTTTACCTTTGAAAAATTGGTATATGAAATGGTTGCAGTTCTAGTCACGTGTAACCTGCTGACCATGAAACAATTTCAATATATGGGAAGATTTATAGTACAACATCTGGAAAATTATCAGGGAAGTTAAAAGTGCTGTCTGTTGTAAAGTTGCCAAACATTCACTGGTTAGGATTCTGAAAAAGCATTTGAAATCAGCTCTGTGACTTGGGATTTAATACATCTAAAGTAGCCTAATGTAAACTGGAGCCATCTTTCAGGTCTGTACACTGTGATCTTTATAATTGTGAGGACACTGGAAGAGCTATTATTTGCAAGCCTACATTATTTCCAAGGATGCTTGCCACCACTGTTGTTTCTCTGAAACCTTTATAGTTGGCCACAGTTTTCGTAGAGTCATAAGAATCACTTCACCCAGCTTTGCAGTAACGTCCGTTAAGGTGTCTAGAGATGTGCAACTTTATTATCATTAGTTATGTAGGTTAGTTGTGATGGTAGTTTTATGATGTAGGTTGCATTCTTCTTATTGAAATATGTATACATCCAAATGAACATGGATAACGAAGAGTTTTAACTGAACACGTGCCAAGGGTCATGATAGAGATTATTTGGCCAATAAAACCAATGTATTTTTTTTCCAATTTACACATCCTCGGTTTCAAACACCATTAAACCAACCATCTCTTCTAACAAAATTAACAATGTTATTTGATTGTTTGAAGTTAAGCACAAAGATACACAATGGACTATCTGTGCTCTGCCCACCACGGGTATCGAAACCAGGTTTCTAGCGTTGTAAGTCCGCAGACCTACCGCCGTGCCACTGGGGGGGGGGCAATATGATGTTAACAAATTTCAAACATCTACAGATTAATCTGCTTTCAATAATATTACAAGAAATGCTTTACAACAACCTTACACTAACAGGTTCTCAACACCACTACAATAACAAGTTTCAAACATCATTATATTAAAGAGATCCACCAGCTAATAAGTTAGTTAGTTTCAAACACCCTTTTATTATCTGCTTTCAATAATATTACAAGAAATGCTTTACAACAACCTTACGCTAACAGGTTCTCAACACCACTACAATAACAAGTTTCAAACATCATTATATTAAAGAGATCCACCAGCTAATAAGTTAGTTAGTTTCAAACACCCTTATATTATCGGGTTTCAATAATATTACAAGAATTGCTTTACAGCAATCTTACGCTAACAGGTTCTCAACACCACTACAATAACAAGTTTCAAACATCATTATAGTAAAGAGAGCCACCAGCTGATAAGTTAGTTAGTTTCAAACACTCTTATATTATCGGGTTTCCAATAATATTACAATAATGATTTTCTGACACCATTACACTATGTAATTTTCTAACACCATTACACTAACTAATTTCAAACTCCATTACACTAACTAATTTCAAACCCCATTACTTTAAATAATTTTCAAAGTTATTACACTAATAAATTTCAAATACCACTACGTTAAGAGTTTCCATCACCATCACACTAACAAATTTCAAATGCCATTACATTAATGAGTTTCCAAAGTTACTATACTAGCGAATTTCCAACATCATTACACTAACCAGTTTCCAACACCATTACTCTAACCGGTTTTCTACACCATTGCACTTATGAATTTCCAGTAGTATTAAATTAACAAGTTTCCAACACCATTACCTGGTTAACCGCTCTCTTACACCATTATACTAATTAGTTTCAAACACCATTACGTAGCTAACCGCACTATTACATCATTATACTAATTAGTTTCAAACACCATTATGTGGCTAACCATTCTCTTACACCATTATACTAATTAGTTTCAAACACCATTACGTGGCTAACCGCACTATTACATCATTATACTAATTAGTTTCAAACACCATTATGTGGCTAACCATTCTCTTACACCATTATACTAATTAGTTTCAAACACCATTATGTGGCTAACCATTCTCTTACACCATTATACTAATTAGTTTCAAACACCATTATGTGGCTAACCATTCTCTTACACCATTATACTAGTTAGTTTCAAACACCATTACACCTTCGGTATAATGCCATTAAAAAAAACGAAAATATCAAAGTACAGATATGTTCAGCCACAAACCATACTAGAACAAATATAATATAGATATACTTTATGTTTTTACAACGTTATATCAACATTATATTAATACTAGTTTGTAAAATAATTAATCTAAAACCTAAATTTTTGAAACTATTGCTACTTTGTACTTAACTCAGTGACGGTGGGGTGTATTGTTGTTTGTGCACTTTTGTCAATAGTACTTTACAAATTTGTTGCGTTGGTTTCGCCAGCAGTTCATTCAAGAGCCTAAACAAAGCATATTTAAATATCAAAATTGTGAGATTTTAATGGGGTTTCTTTTAATGGTTGTTACAGTCCACAAAGGCAGCGCTTTTGCCTCTATATGTGGGTGCATTACAACTTTGTAACTCATATATTAGTCCTATTTTTTATCATAACTTTGTACTTCATATATTAGTATTATTTTTATTACAACTTTTTAACTCACATATTAGTCTTATTTTTATTACAACTTTGTAACTCATATATTAGTCCTATTTTTTATCATAACTTTGTACTTCATATATTAGTATTATTTTTATTACAACTTGTTAACTCACATATTAGTCTTATTTTTATTACAACTTTGTAGCTCATATATAAATCTTATTTTTTATCACAACTGTCTACTCATATATTAGTCTTATTTTTATTACAACTTTTAACTCATATACTAGTCTTATTTTTATTACAACTTTCTACTCGTATATTAGTCTTATTTTGATTACAACTTTGTAACTCATACATAGGTCTTATTTTTATTACAACTTTTTGAGTCATATATTAGTTGTATTTTTTATCACAACTTTCTACTCATATATTAGTCTTATTTTTATTAGAACTTTGTAGCTCATATATTAGTCTTATTTTTATTACAACTTTTTAAATCATATATTAGTCGTATTTTTTATCACAACTTTCTCCTCATATATTAGTCTTATTTTTATTACAACTTTTTAAGTCATATATTACTCTTAATAAAGATTTCCTTAATTCACTTTCTTTCCCAATTAACTATTTTAACTCTTACGCACTTTGTTATCTGAAAGAAAATATGAGGAAGCTTCTTTATTACTTACATCTATATCATATATCTTGGATTATTTTCTCTGTACGTGGTGATATACTCCATATATAGCTAGAGCCACTTAACATGACGTGTTAATACTACATTTCTGCTATTAAAGCCGTTTAACTTACCATGCTAATATTAAATTTTTATTATTAGATCTATTGAACCTACAGTGCTAATACAAGATTTCTGTTATTAGAGCCGTTAAATTTGTCGTGCTAATGCTACATTTCTGTTCTCATAATCATTTAATCTACATGATAATACAACATTCCCGTTACTTAAACATTCTTAATATGACTTAGAAAAGAACTATCTAGTGTATAAGACATATAAAACGTTAACAAATTTACAGTATTATTAAGTACACACAACTTAGATATGTAATCCAGTTACCATAACATAAGTAACCGCTAATCCTTCACAATTATAAACGGAATTTACCTACATCAACAAAGTTTTTTTACACAATTTACATCGTCAAAATACTTACTTTGTTTGGTTTTGACTTATAATCCTTTATTCATCATTAATAACCTAAAATAATTGTTTCTGAAAAAAGGACTATACGTCAAAGCTAAACAAATTGTCTACATTCCACAATATATGAGACGTTATTTATTTATTCGTTTTTCTAAGCAGCACTCGTGAGCTATGAATTCGCTTTTCTTAAAAAAAACGCGTTTTAGTGAAGAAAAAATTCATAAATAATATATATATTTACTTGAAAACCATTCAGAACCGTAGAGGCCCTAAACCTTGCATATGGCTCCACCTAGTAATGAAACTAGAAATCGTGGGATTTATTAGCTGGAATCATTAACACAGAAATGCTTAAATCTTGAATCTGCTAATAAAAACTAGGTAACTAGGTTTAGTAATCCAAAAACGCAAATTAATGACAAACAGACAAGTGGTTTCGTAACAAATAGACAACAGGTTTCGTGACAAATAGCTAACTGGTTTCGTGACAAACAGACAACTGGTTTTGTAACAACTAGACAACAGGTTTCGTAACAAATAGACAAGTGATTTCGTGACAAACTTATAAATGGTTTCGTGACAAATAGAGAACTGGTTTCGTAACAAATAGGCAACAGGTTTCGTGACAAATAGCTAACTGGTTTCGTTGCAAATAGATAACTGGTTTCGTGAAAAACAAATAACTGGTTTCGTGACAAACAGACAACTGCTTTCGTGGATCTAAAAATAATAATAACTTTATATAAGATATTAGAAATTCATGTTCCTACATTTCACTAATAAAGACATAACTGATGTCATCACTCGCAAACAATCTCATAGTGAACGTTACCATATTTATTGTAAGAGAAACTTAATAGCGTTACGAAAATATACGCATAACAGCATTCGTAAATAAAAATATTTTGTTCTAAATAATTAAAGAAACTCATAATGTTTATTGGTTGCTATAAAGAAATTTATCCATAAAACATAATATTCTTGCAAGAAGTGGGTTGAAGGTGTTCTATGTATGAAATCAATCCAGTGACCAATGAAAAGATAGCACACAAAACATGTGAAGCAACGTAAATTTGTAGAGTTAACAATTATCTCCAAAACAACAAATTTTCTATCTTTGATATTGGGAGTTTAAGTAAGTTATTGTTAGTTGTTGAGTAGTCAGTGGAAAGCTGCGATACAATCACATCTAAAAGTTACTCCTAAAAATTGATATGCAAATCTACAAATTTACTCAGCATCAAACACATTATGTATGTACCTTCTAAAAACTATACAACACACAGTTGTATTTTTTACCAAAGCTTTAAATTAAGCTTTACCCACGATGTTGGAACCAACGCATAGTTATAAAATATTTTGTTCTTAATCAATTGTGAGGAATCTGCTTTTTTCAATATTAATTTGATGTTTACGTTAAGGATTTAAACCTAGTTTAAATTTTAAACAGAAAAGACTTAAGGTACATACACTCCAGTGAAAATTTAATATACATATGAAACAAGAAGGGCTACTATGCATTGATAAACTGAAACGTGAGCGTTATACAGAAAAACCGAGTTGGACGACCATTTGGTATGTCTATTTTGTAAATTAAAAGATCGTCCAACTTGTGTTTCTTGTTTATTCTTAATAACAGCCTCAGTTCGCCATAGTATAGGTTTTACAAGATGACGGAAAGTGTCTTGTATCACGTAGCTCATTAGTCGAGAAGAATGGTCAGTTAGTTCACAGGTGTCACGTTTATTCCGAATTGCTTAATTAGATTCAGATTTGGTATAAAA